CTACACATTCTACCTGGATTATTGAGCACGCATCAGGATTATTCTACTGGATTATTGAGCACGCATCAGGATTATTCTACACATTCTACTGGATTATTGAGCATCAGGACACGTCACCAGCTGGTTAGACGACAGATCCTGTTGGCAGGCCTCAGACTGATGACGTCTTTCAGATGAAAGACGAAAAGTTTTTTAATCTTTATGATTGATTTACTTGGATTGAGTTTACAAACCTTTTTTTTAATCTAGTTCACTTGATTGTTTGAACAAGTTTAATATTGTCGCACATAAACTAAATTTAAACCGTCACAGCATTTCAGTTAAATAAATTTTGGTCAAAGTTAGCAGGAAAATATTGGCTAACACAACCCTGTGCCGCCCCCGTCCTCATTTGTGACGTCGCTCCGGATCAAACCGGAGCTCAGAGATTATCGGTTTTGGCGACGCCTCTCCATCTTTCAGACTCGACCCGAGCGTTGGGCTTTGGTCACGCGTGTTGCGACTCGTACCGGTCACTCCTTTGCACATCTGCATGCATTCCTCGTCCTCCTCGAAGTTGTTCCCGTTCGCATCGCAGCCGCCGTATGTGAAGTGGTAGCACTTCCTGTCCACGGGGTCGTAGTACCACCGGGGGAAGCTCGCCCGACACGGACCGGTGCGGGGGGGCTCCGTGCACCGTACTGAGGAGGAGGAGGAGGATCAGGGTACAGCTTTGTTACCATGGAGACGTTTGAAGACCGGACACTGACCTGCGCTCTCCTTCACGTTGATCCTCAGCAGGCCGCTGAAGGTCTCGTTCACTGAGGAGGAGGAGGAGGAGGAGGAGGAGACACTTTCCATTAAAACAAGAATAAAAAGTGACATCATGTTCAGCTTGATGAGGAAGAGCTTCAACCTTCGGCAGCTAAATATCAAAAAGTACAGAAAATATCAGGAAGAAGAAAAGGATATCGATGAAACGAGCGGTTAAAACCCGGTTCTGTTTGGATCTCCGGCTCAGACTTCACCACGGTTCAGAGTTTAAACGGGTCCAGCTTGACTGGTTGTTTTTGATGTTTCGTTAGAAGATTTGGGGAAATTATGTCACAGAATTATCGATTTGTCTGATTTTGTCACATTTTTTGAGCCGTCTTTCCGTTTTTACGAACTAACCCTTTCCTGTCACGAACTTTACACTTTTCATGACATTTTTACATCTAAACGTGGGAATTGAGTCTTTTTCAGCCGGCGTCTCCCTCGGTGCTGATGGAGTGATGGTTTCCTCTCAAATCTCCCCTCAGAGGTCAGAGGTCACGCATACAAACACGTCCATCGTTGCAGAGTTCAGGATTTTCTTCACAAAACAGGAAGTGAAACTCTTCAACGCTGCTCCTGCTGTGTGTCTGCCTGTCTTATTGTGAGTGCTGTCAGTGTGACAGACACGCGTGGTCCTAAAGAGCCAACGTTTCTTCTGATCGCGTTACACCCTTTGACTGTTTCTACAACGTGTCGGCCATTTTGTCAGGTTAGATCAGGGCTGTTCAACTGGCGGCCTGTGGGCCACATGCGGTCCGCGGGTGAGCTCGGTCCGGCTCCCATCGAGTCAATTTGAAATAAAACTACATTCGACTGTGGAGCCGAGCAGTTCAGTTGAATTCTCTCAGCTGTTTTCTTCAGGGGTCACCACAGCGAGCAAACTCACTTGAAAGATTTGGCAATTTGTTTAACTCCAGGTGCCCTTCCTGACGCAACCTGGACTTGAACCCGCAACCTGAGGACTACAAGACTGCGGCGCTGACCGCTGAGCTACCGCAGACGCACTCAGCTGAACAGTTCTGGAGATAAACTCCCACAAAGGAAGTCCCAGATTCTTAATGGGCTTTAGAAAAACTTTGAACTGTTTGACTCTGTGTCGAATGTTGCCAGGTAACAGAAAAATCAAGAAAGCAGGAGTTGGTGAGGAGCAGGTGTGTGCGTGAAGGTTAGGTGGAGGTGTGAAGCACACCGAGTCGTGCACAAATAAACTGTGTGTGTGTGTTTCAGTTACGTTTGCTGCATTTGTCCTCGTCAGAACCGTCGCTGCACTGGCTCACGCCATCGCACTCCAGACCCCGGTCCAGACAGCAGTTACTGTCGCAGGTCAGCTGGTCAGGGCTGCACGCCACGCCGCACACCTCTGCACGCACGCACGCACGCGCACACGCACACACACACACACACACACACACGTTAAACCTGACCTCGGTCACTGACATCAGAAACATGCTGCAGGACTCACTTGGCTGAGGGACGCTCCTCTCTGACGACTCTATGAGGACAAAACACAGAAATGAGCGTCGATGTGTGCGTGTGTGTGCACGTGTGTGTGCACGTGTGTGTTACCTGTGACTCCTCTGCAGGCGGACAAACACTCGTCTTCAGACAGGTAGTTGTTCTCGTTGGGCGTGCAGCCTCCGAACACGAACGTCTCGCAGCCGCCCGCCTTGGCGTTGTAGCGCCAGCGGGTGAAGGACGCGCGACACGGGCCCACCTTCGCCGGAGCCTGGCAGTACACTGAGGGAGGACAGGTGCATGACATCACTTCCTGTTGCCTGCTGCGAGACCAGCACAGCAAGGTGTGTGGGAGCTATAAACACGGGGAGTGGCGCGGTGGCGACACGGCTGTAACCGTGGCAACGTGAATCATTTACAGTTTTCCAGCCCGCGCTGGTCCGAGCTACAGAACCGAGCCTGGTCAGAACTGGGATCAGTGCTCCACATGTCGATCGTCTGACGAGTCTCAACTCGAACGACCGGAGTCAAGACAACAGAGAGAACCTCGCAGAGCAGGTTTCTGGTGTGTGCGCGTGTGCATGCATGTGAGCGTGCACGTGCGTCAAACCAGTCTGACCTGTATGCGAGGGTGTGTGGATCATCAGAGTGAAAACAAACATTCAGTTCACCGAACTTCTGCAGTAAATGTTTTTTAATAAAACATCAAATCCACTCAGTTTTAAAGATCCGGACTAAATCTAAAACTGGTTCCGGGTCCTGATCCAGCAGCTTGTAGCGCCTCCTTCGGCTGCAGAACTCTCTCATGGTCCCTCGTGGTTCTGGCCCACTCTTCTTTCCAACCTTGTTCCTGCTCAGCTCCCAGTCCCACCACAGCATTTGTCAGGTTTTGGTTCTGGACTGACTGGACCGTTGCAGCTCCTCGGTTCTGTCTGACCCGTTCTGTTGTAGATCAGCTGCTGGGTTTGGGATCAAGGTTCTGTTGGACCCAGTTTGTTGGACTCACATCTGACTCCATAACCCTTAGGTTAACAAGAGGAGTTCTAGTCCACTCAATGACTGACAGCAGCCCAAACCATCAGCCTCCACCACCGTGCTGACAGTTGGGAGCTGGTATGCTGCAGTGCATTCTGGGTAAACATCTGTCCTCTGTTTCTGGCTCTGTCCCAGAAGTCTCAGTTCCTTCAGATTAAACTTTCCAAACCTAAGTGGTGCTGCCATGTTGTTTTTAGAGCGAAGAGGTCATGACCTTTGACCTTTAACCTGCTAACTGAGGCCCATAGAGTCATTCCTCTGAGCACTGCACAGTCTGACCTGCAGGGTGAATCTGCTGCAGCTCCTGGGTACTGTCTGCCGTCTTAAAAATGTTTTCCACTTGTGAATAATCTCTTTCTCTGTAGAACTCCAGAAAGGTTGGAAATGACCTTTGACCCTTCCCAGATTGACGATCTCTGAGGTCACTGCTGATGCCTTTCCATCTTGGCATCGTGTTAACACACAGCTGTACAATCCAGAGCAGCACAAACTGCAGGTTTTCCAGAGGTGATCCCATCGATGACGATCAGTTAAACGACTCGCCGGATCCTGGCGGGCGATCTGTTGTGACGTTTGATGAGAGTCTTTTAGAGGCGTGAAGACCAGGTGACTTATCGTTTTATGATTCGTCAGAACCAGAATCAAAACAACCGTTTCCCTGAGACTCTGAACAAACTGTCAATAAGTCTGTTAGTTATCCAGCCAAGTGTCTGTAAATTAGTTCAATCTACAAATTGTCAAGAAAGCACTTAAGTTTCAGTAAAGCAGGTAAATATTCTGTAAATTACCAATAAATCTGGCACATATCAATTACAGTTAAATAATCAATAGCTTTGATTAATGAAGGTTTCAGCAGCCTTACGTTTAGGAAAAGACAAACCAACTCCCCCGACTACATTTCCCATGAGCACTTACAGCTGGACTGCTCGGGGCTGAGGACCAGGACCCTGACCCGGTCGTCGGCTGACTGTCCGTCGGTGTCGGTGACCTTGAGCTGGAAGATGAACAAACCTTTCTGCAGTTTGGAGAGCTTCACCTGGTCAGGTAGATCCGTGTTCTGCAGAAACCCAGAAAAACATCTGGTCAGAAACAAGCTATTGGGGTCTCTTCATGTCTGTTCAGGTTGAGAGGCAAAACTAACTAAACCCTGTACGACTTTTCCAAAGGGAACATTTGTGGGTGGAACCCGTGTGAAGCCCCGCCCCTTCAGGTGTTACCTGTATCTGGACGGCAGGGTCTCCACTCTCCATAGTCCAGCTGTAGCTGACGATGTGCGAGCCGTGCAGCGCCAGACTCTCGATGCCGTTGAGCGTCACCTCCTCTCCTGGCTGGATGACGACATCACGCCCTGCGTTGGCGATGGGCGGAGCCTTCTTACCTGGACACATGCGGTGATGTCACAACAACATCCAACAGGATGGAGATGAAGAGAAAGAGCCTGAACTGATTTTTATTTTCATTCAGAGAGAAGGAAACTGAGCTTTTCTAGTTTCTGGGTGTTTGCTGAAACGTCTGATCCAGACGCTGACACAAGCTAGAGATATTGCTGAAAGCTGCTGAAGGACGTCTGCTGAAAGCTGCTGAAGGACGCCTGCTGAAAGCTGCTGAAGGATGCCTGCTGAAAGCTGCTGAAAGCAGCTGAAGGACGCCTGCTGAAAGCTGCTGAAGGATGCCTGCTGAAAGCAGCTGAAGGATG